GGGGGGGGGATATTTGAAGAGTCTAATCAAGTGGGAAAGATTGTGCAGTCAAAGGTTCTCCAGTTTACTGAGCCAACTTCCTGTGTGTACCCTGGGGCGCCTCCTCTCTATGTTGTCCCATAAACACACACATCCTTTAGTGTCGATGGGCCTCACTCACACTGGTGCTTTATGTTTAACTCTGGGAGCACTCAGTTACACTTAGAACCACCTCAACTGATTACAGCCTTCCATTTCTATGCAAAGACAAGGAGGTGTTCGTTCACAGCCACCCCCCCCCCAAATCTGCCAATCTTCACTTATCTCTCAACCTTTATTACTACCAGGCAGCTTCCCTTGAACCCCACCCCCCTGGATACAATGTAGACAGAGCTTGTAGTTGACACTAAAAAAAACGCTGCTGGCACTAGAGGTTGGCAAGTATAGTCGCTTCTTCAGTCTTGTGCCAACTGATCTGCAAATATCTACTTCCACCTTGCCATTACCTAATTTATCTTAAGAGCAAGGAGCGTACACCACGAGCTCCAGCTGTAGGAGGCTTGAGGGGTAGGGGGGAGATAAATAGTGCTTGTATTTCAGAAATGTAGAGGAGAACCAGGCTGCAAGAGGGAGGGGAGGGTCCTGTATGTGTCTGTGCACTGTTTATGGGTCACATCGGGTACATCTCTTTTTTTAAAACCAAAAACATATTTTTCTTTATCATCAAGGTTTTTGTTGCAAAAACTACAAAAAAAAGTCTTTCAGCAGTGCACTCCGAGGCTGAGGCCCGTTTCTGTTGCTCTGCGAGCTGCCGCCTTCTCGCCCCGCCCGACCCCCTCTCCGGGCCTCGTGCGGGGAAAGCTGTATCCAGGTGGTTCGTTTTGGACCCCCAATCCTGAAGGTCGTGCCAGCAAATAAACAACAGGTCGTCTCTGCTCATCCGGCTCTGGGGACCTCACGTTTTGGCAGAAATAGGGTCACACCTCAAGTTTGGTACCAAGTCTTAAAACGTACGGGATTTTGCCCTCTTCCAGAGTCGCGTTAGACTCGCATCATTCAAGAAAACAATCACTATTGCCTGTGTTTGTTTGTTCCATAAACCTGCATTTATTCCACACTGGACTTGAATCGAGCAACTGGCATCGGGAGTGGGAAAGAGTGGGAGGGCGGGTCATTGGGAAGGAGGTCCAGTCTCAGATGTGCCCTGGATTTCTTTTGGGCGCAGCACCAGCACTGAGAGCCCCTCCCACCCCCCTCGCCTGCATTCTTATCTACCGTTCTAGTGTTGAAAATCAGATGCGCTCCCTTTTTTAAAGTCACAGGGACTCGAAGGCAACTGGAGCTTAAGCAAAATCTGCTTCTCAATCATTGATAAGACAAGGCTCTGGGACAGGGGCCCCAAAAAGAGTTGAGTTAGCAAATCACTCTTTTAGAAACAAACCAAGGCCTGAGTTGAATATGCACATGCTAGTCCGTATACAGAATACAACCATGAGTACATAATGGGTGTATGTGTGTGTATGGCTAGATCTCTCGGTTTTCCATTTGGCCTAAGCCCCCAACCCCGCCCTGGCTTTTGGCTCTATGTATCCTCCTCAACATTATATTTCCCAGAAGACAAGATCATAAACATATCAGAGTAATACAAAATAATGAAAACGAATACTTGAATCAAAAGAAGCGCCAATAATGTAATGTGAACACTTTTTGTAGTGATTTTTTGTCTCATTCATACACTTCAGAGATTTTTGATAGCATCGGTTCAGAGTGAATTCAATTTGAAATGCGAGTGTTGTTTAAAACAAAGATGGATATAAAGGCAAATTCACGTCTGTCGTATTTGAGTGTTTGCACAAGGCTGCTTGTATTGTATGTTGAATGAATGTTTAGCGTGTGAGGTGAAAATATGTGAGAGCTCGTGATTACAGCGGAGGAATTTCCGCCTCGTGTTTCTTTTCAATTCAGTATACTTTTGTTGTTTTGTTTTTTTTGCTTGTCAAAAAATATATTCTGATGTTAATTGTTACTAGCCTCTAGCGTTGCACTGAGTGTCGGCCTCACCCCTCATCCAGCTAAACGAACAACATGATACAAGTACTGAGGGGAGACGGGGACAGTTCATGTGTAAATGTTTACTCAAGGACTAAAATAAGTGTGTTTTTAAAAATGTAATGTTTATCTACCTTAGTGGCTTTCATTGTGGAATAATCCAAGAAAGTATGGATCATAATTGAGTATTGCACCATTTTTTTTTTTGGACTTTAAACCTAAAAAAAGAAACAAGTAAAGAAAAAAAAATCACATGTATAAAAAATGCAGCAAAAAAAGTATTTTGCAGACCTGTGGCCATAGATTGGGGTAGAAGGACTTCAGCTCTCCCAAATCTGAGCAAGGGAGAGAGTGAAGGAGCGACATCAGACTGAGCCTTGGCTTCTAGGGCTCACTTCAGAGGTGCCTACCTTTTTGGTTTGTTAGCTTTCGTTCTGTTATCACTTATGTTCACTCATGTTGTCATTTTTTTTCTCTCCTGCAAGGCCACTGACGGTTTACAAACACTTTGTTTTTTTCTGGAGTTAAAAAAAAAAAAAAAAAAAAAAAATCGCAACGCAAAGGAATGAAACCATGGGAATGTTGGAGAAAGAAAAAAAAAAGGACAAATGCTTCCAATTTTTAGAAAAGTGCAACACCTCAAAGAATGAAGATTTGTTGTGATACTTTCAGAACTCTGGGATCGAACAGTGTTGTCTCGTTCTGTTTCACCTTCTCTGTGTTAATGTTGATTTCATCTGAAGCCTGTATGTTTTATGTTGATTATATATATTTTTCCTTTTTATATAAGAAAAACGAAAAGAAAAAAAGACATAATTGCTCACTATCTTGCACACACACGGAAAAGTGGATCTTGTCTCAGGAAGGCCAGGGTTCCAGAGTACCAACTCCATGCCATTTTAATGTACATTTTTATGATGAAAAGAATAAAATAAAATAAAAAAGGATGATTTAAAAGAAACAATTCTAAGCACTGAAAGTTATGGATTTCAGAAGAAGAGAAAATACCTTTTGTTTCTAAATCCGTAGCAGTTACATAATAACCAAATAATGGACTTTAAATGAAAATGGAGTGCTTTATATATAAATCTATATATTAAAATTGCTTTACATTTAAAAAGAAAAAAGGTCAATGATTTTGATTGTTAAAAAAAAGAAGGAGAGACCGTGAATAACATGCAAAATGCTGTATGTTTGAATCTTTATTGTGTTTTCTTAATGAGGTCCCGTCCTGACTGAATCAGGAACATTGTGCATTACTCTTTCTCATTCTCCCACAGCGGGTATTATTAATAGATAAATCAGACTTTTGTGGAACATTTTTCACATTTTGGAGGATGTTTGTAAAACATGAGCTGGTTGTTAAGGATCATGAAACTATGCACAAGTGTTTGTGGGGGAGGGGGGGGGGTGGAAGATGGGGATTTTATGGCCTAGTGGCTGATCTATTGCAGGGGTTTTTGGGATCCAATGTGTTTGTATTTGTCTTTTAAGGGGGTGGAGGGGGGGTGGAGAGGTGACTCGTGTATAGCCCTCCACCTCCAGCTTCCTTCCCCTGATTCAGATTGACCTAGCGCTACATCGCCATGCTGTGTATTCCTAAAACCAATGAGCGTCTCACTCTTTAGCACTGTGGGATTCTAGCCTGTCACCCTCAAGGGGTTTTCTCAGTTTTAAAGGTTTTTGTTTTTTAGGGTGGGGTGGGGGATATGGGATTAGGGCTGCTTTATTTTCTTTCTTCATGTTTTTTTTTGCCTTTTGAAATATTAAGTAAAAATGTCTGTACTGAGATTTAATGAAAAGTCAGTGGCTTGTAATGTTTTTTTTTTTCTCTCTGTATATCTCTTTCTCCTCATAGAATGTGATTGTTAAATGACATGCACCGAGACAAATGTTTTCATGAACTATGGAGCTTCTTTCAAATATTAATAAAATAGCATTTTTTTCTTGGCTGTTAAAAACGTCCTATTTGTCGTTTGTCGCTGTTCCACCAAACTGAGACTTTTCTTACTTCCTGGATGAGAAGAAGCCTCTCACTCTCATATCAAAGGCAGTACAGAGCTGATGTCACTTCCTGTGAATCGTTGCTGCACCATGAGTTCCAGAAGTCACGCTCTGAGGACGAGCTGTCTGGGACATGCGTAGTAGTTGTCCTGTGGTTGTCGGAGGTTTGGGTTTGCGTACACAGGGTAGTCTGCTTCCTCCCGCTGTGAGGGCGTCTCTAAGTTATTTTCAGCGCTCTGCTGCTTCCTGGTCATTTCCTCATAGATAGGAACCGGAGGTTGTGGTCTGTGATGATACCTCGCCTTCACCTACAACACATAACATTATTCTTTACTATTAGACATTAATTAATCTTCACGTCATAATTTAGTCTTTGTAGTGAGTTATTATGCTGAAGGCCTTAAGTTGAAAATGGTTGTCTTGATAAAATTGTCAAAATCTGAAAATTGGAGAGAAAAAAAACCTATGGGCAGGATGTAACAATTAAATCCAACTGTGTCTCACGTCATGATTAGCGGTACTTGGATGGGGATTGGAGACCCCTGTTCTAAGCTATACAGTACATTAGACAGCAACGCATAAATAACATGATATAGGGAGTGGACAAATTAAAAATGAACACTCTTATTGCAAAGAAATCTCTGATAAGGTAAAGCCTATATTGTTTTTAATACAACCTGTAGATGTGTTGATTAACCATGATGGTATTTGTGAGGCTGTAGTTTGTTACCAAGTTCCCATGCAGTATATGTATGTCAGTAAGTAATAGAGTAATTATAAGATATATACTTTTTTACATAAATTGCCTTGAAAACTGTAAATGTTTTTCTCTATTAAAGCTTGAGACATTGCTATTGAGCTTAATATGACTCCTTCTGTTTTAGTAGTTTTGATTTGTTCCTGTATTAAAAGCTAATGCGTCCATTTGCACATTTGTTGGACATTAGGAGGGAGATGACACAGGAGCATTGTAGCTTCACAACAAAACCTCATACATTTTCAAGTGTAATCAGTATCCTGCTCAGTGAAGCTGAACTGTAAATACTCACACATTTGTCTACGGCCAGCCAGCTGATTGTGAGCAGAAGAAGCCCCGCTACTGTGAAGATGGTGAAGACCAGAGGAGGGTAGCTGGGAGAGCACTGGCATGACCTTCCTGCATCACAAACACACCAAAACACATTAATATCTGCACGGAAGGATTTAGATGAACTGCAAGAGTGTCACGTGAGATGTTTGATGCACATACCTGTCCCTTCAACCAACAAGAAAACATGATGGGCGCTGAGGAGGATCTGATCCAACCTGCTGTCCTCAGTGTAGCTCAGCTCCCACATGTAGAGCCCAGTGTCGCTGCGCTGTAACTGGGACACGGTCACATTAACCTGCGGGGACTCCAGACCTCCATGGAGCTGCACACGCCCCCTGTGCCCCGGGGAGACCCTGAGCTCCCCCCCAACAGCCAGGGACAGCAGGGTGGTCTGGCTGTGGGCGCTGCGGTGGTAAAGGTGGAGGCCCGTCAGGCGGCCGGCCCCCGGCTGGGGGGAGCAGGAGAGCTCCAGAGACTGGCTCTCCATCAGCTGCTGGAGGATCAACTCTGCAGAGGCTGGGGAGAGCAATAACTGTTAGAATACACATGCAGGTTATAAGTAGTCATTATAGAAGCTGTAATGAATGTTGGTCAGGTCATCACTTTGACAACTGTTGGATGTATTACCATGGTGTTTTTGTATGTCATGGTCCCCAGAGGATTAATCATACAGAATTTGGTGACCTTTTACTTCTCATACAGTGCCATGATGAGAGATCATTTTGAGTGATTTCTAAAAAACGATTGGATGTGTTGCCATAAAATTTGGCATAGTCATTTTCCCCTTATGAGAACGTGTTATCATTTTGGTCATTACCCTGTAAAGCCGGCAGAGACAAACCCAGAAACTACACAATAACAGTCACGTAAATATCTTTGATTAGTGCAAGACTGTCCATAGCAGCGTAAAAAAGTGTCTATCTCACCCTCCCTGACCAAACTTCAGTGTAATACTTATAGCTTAATACTAGCAACACGATTATTTTAATGATTGTTTAGTAAGGAATGTGTATACAACATAAACATTAAAGAAACAAGGATGTTTAGTCTTCACTGTTAATACCTAACATGGCTCTAAACAAAGCCACACAACTGGTCTGATTGAACATCCCCGTAAATAAAAACAGATTACACTGTATGAACATTACATGTTGATGTCAGCTGTCAGGATAGACACATATCAGTTTTTGAAAGAGGAAAATAAAATGTGAATTTCTCCTACCTTCAAAAAGCTGAATGAAAATAAGAATGCATGCCAAGCTCGTCTTCATGGCCTTTTCAGTTATGAACTCACTAATAAATACTAAAGCTGACTCACATTGCACTCCTCCTCTTTCCTTCAGTCTTTGTGAGGTTTTGTGGACAGCCTCACTTTATTTATTGTTCTTCACCTCTGAGCAGGAAGGGGAAATCAAAGCAAGAACAGCCGTTGAAACGTTGCAGTTGGTTTTGCACACACTGATGTTTAACTTAATTTCTGAACTGAATCAGACTCATCCACTGGATTAACACCACTAATGTGTAACA